ACGTGTCTCTTCCATGTTGGAGCCAGCTGACCATGGAATGAGCCCACTGAAGCCTCGAGCTTCCTTTAAAGTGAAGGTGTTGGGAATTTTGTCCCTGCAGTAGGAAGGTGACTAATACAGTGTGTTTTCCATTATTGAAGTTTGAGGGCTCTTACTTATTTCACTAATGCCTAAGTGGTTTGAAAACATTTCTCTCATTCTATAGCTTGCCCTTTCATACACTTCATTTGGAATTTCACAAAGCAAAAAATTTGTATTTAGGTGATTTCCAGTGTGTCCTTTCCTTTTATGGACCATGTTTGTTTTGTTTTGTTTTTACCATCCTTACTAAATTTCTTCAACAGCATTTATTGAAAAATTATTATCCCATTGAGATGATTTTATATATTTGTCAAAAATCATTTCAGCATATTCATTATATCTATTTCTAAGTCTTCTGTTTTGTCCCACAAATCTGTGTAGCTCCCTCTGACAGTCCCACACAATTGTCGTCATTGTGGCTATGTAGTAAGTCTTAATATTTGTACAGCAGTTCTTCCCACTTCATTCTTCTTAGTCAAAACTGTTTTAGCTATTCCACTTTCTGTGATATATATATTTAAATATAAGCCTGTTTGCATCTATGTAAAATTGTTGAAGTATTAATACTTCAACTTATTAATAAAGTTTAATAACTTAGATGTCAGTTTAGAGCAGTGGTGGTGAACCTATAGCACGCATGTCACAGAGGCCTGTTTGTATCATTGAATGCTCTGAAAGGTTCACTATCACTGGCTTAGGGAGAAATGAAAACTATATTAACTTTTACAATCCATGCACCTAATATGTCTCACCATTTATTTAGGTCCTTGTGATTTTTTAAAAAAAATTTTGTCAAGTTATAAGTTTCAGTATGTAGCTCCTTTGCCTATTTTGTTGTATATATAACTAAATAGTTAATTTTCCTTGGAATGAGTATGATTAATATTGAATATTACTTGGTTTTGATCTCAGGTTCATTGTTAGTATATAGAAATTCTATCCTATGGCCTATTTAATTCAATTCTAAAAAGATTTGTTTGTCTGATTTTTAAATTTATACAATAAAGTAATATTATGGAAGTGTGGTTTTACTTTCCTATTTTCCAAATCCTATGATTTTTCTCATTTGTTGCATTAATTGTAACTTCTAGAACTGTGTTTACTAAAAGAGGCGAGATCAAACATTCCTGTCATACTTTCTAAGTGAAGACATTTGTGCTTTTGCCATTAAGTAAGATTGTAGCAGTAGTTTTTGTAGATTGTTTTCATCAAATTTATTTGATTGTAAATTATGGATATGCAAAGCCTCCTGAACAATGGCAGAGTTTGCCAGAATTAGAAATAAGATACAGAGGAAAAGCTGGAAAGTTTCTGCCAGTAAATACCGGATTATTTTGGATTTATTTTTATTCTTGAACGGAGCCTTTCCTAATGCAGTTCTTGTCACCGTTTGACCATATACACTGTGATTTGCCTTGGAGCTGCGTATGCAGTCTGCCAGTAGGCATTTTAATGATTTAATGTTTCGACACTTACACTACTTTCCACTCTGAGTTGCTAGTGTTTCTACAAAAGTTAGAAAATCCTGGTATCCCTTAAGTGTGGCAATATGCTGCCTTCATACTTCTGCTCAGTGTAGTGGAATAGGTCCAGATCACTTATTCAGTAAGAAAGAGTATCTAGAATAAGTAAAACCTCCTAAACTCAGAAGAATATACTGTTCAATTTGCAAATGGGCAAAAAGCATGAACAGATATTTCATGGAGAAGAATGTATGTGTGGGAACATAAGCACATAAGCAGATAGCCAACATCATTGGCCATCAAGTAAATGCAGATTAAAACCATAATGAGTTATAACTGCAGGCCCCTAGACACATACCTCCCCACATTCACATGGCCAAATTCTGTTCTTTGAAGCGTCTTTGACAAGTTTCAGTTAAGTATCTATTGATCATTTTATTTACCACCATTTCACCAGATGCTATATAAAATGTAGCTCTTGGACTCAGATTTATCTTTGTCTAGTTGCTTTCCTTTTTGTTCTGACACAGTATCCAACAGCAGCAACTTAAAACTGGGAAGCTGATTTTGGCTCACAGTTTCGGAAGTTGCAGTACATGGTTGGCAGAGCCGGTGTAATGGAAGGGCCTGGCAGGGAAGAAAGTTGCTCATGGTGACCAAGAAGCAGAGAGAGAAGGGAGGAGTCAAGGAGGAAGATATATTCTTCCAAGTCAGGCCCTGATGACATCCTTCTAACCAGGCCCCCCCTCTGAACACCATGATCCGGAGCACAGCACCCCTGTGATCCCAAGCACCTGCCAGTGAATGTATTCTACTTCTGAACATATGAGGCTTTGGGGGACATTCCAGATCAAAATCCTGAGTCTTTCTGCCAGACGGGTCTTTCCATGAAAGGAGGCCTCTCATAATTCATACTTTCAAAAGCTAACATATAATAGGCTGAAGTTTTGCAGGACCTCAACAAATACTTGTTTAATAAGTAACTGCTTTCTTTTCTGTCCCTGGAAGTCTGTAGATATTTAGCAGATTCTCTGTCTCATAGGCACTTTGGTATATTCCAAAAAATTTGAGGCATCTTCTAAGATACTTAATCTGGATTGAAATTTACACATTTTAATGAGAAGCTACAAAATTTTTGGCATATTTAAGGTTTTGCTATGAACTTTTTAAAAATTCAGGTCCTGGGATATAATCCCCAGAGATCTAAAATGTTCTTTGCCTTCACATACTGTATCAGGCAACTGTTTGGACCAGGGAACAAATTTGTATTAGGTAAATTTGTGCTTAGGTAAAACATATTTTCCCTTGGAGAAGACATTAATGGTATCTGTAGAATCTATTTTTTTTTTTAACACTGTAGCTAAAATCATTGATGGAAAAATTTCATCCTGTGAAATTATGTGACAGAAGAAAATAAGGATTGGGCAGAAAAATAGCAAGGATGACAAATACATATTTGTCAAGAAGGTAGACCTTTGGAAATAATTTTTTCATGAATGGGCTGTGTTCTGATAGAATACGCTTCCTTTTTCAGCCATTGGAAAGCATGGGGTGGTCCAGGTTTTCAGTTCCAGTTCAGCTACAATTCAAGGACCTTAAAGTTTTGAGAATGTTGCAGTTTAGTTACAAATTTAAGATGATAAAATGCTGTATGTGATCATTTATGTAGCATAAACTGTGGTTAAAATGAGGCCAAAATCACTGTTTTGCTTCTTTTCTGGGCACACATAATATGTTTTGCTGAGTTGCTTTCCTGCATGATCGAACCTACCAACTTAATGCAATTTTTCAATAAATGAAGCACATAAGGCTTATTTCTTTCCAGGGTACTGAAGTATGGTGATGAAAATATTTATAAGTATCTCCAGATTTATTATTGGTTATGAGATAATTATTTTGCTTTTTACATTTTTCAAAGAAAAGTTGAAATTTTCCAAGTTGCATTCCAGAGTACATGCTCTGCCTTGCTTTCTATAGTCATCACTTAAGCAGTTTATTTCAACTCTTAAGAAGCATGGGCTGAGTATGTTTTCACAAATTGACCATGCAATTATTCTGATACAGAAAGTGACACCATAGAGTATATTAACTGTGCAATCTGTAAACATTTTTTTGAATAGTAATTTAGATAAACAGTAGATCTTTCTTTTCCCCCATAGCCTTATACTTTTTTTTCAATAAAGCCAATAGAATTTTCTTTGTGCTATAATTTAAGCTGAAACATGAAGTAGTATTTGTTGTCCTGGATTGTTATTAGAAAAAATTACATATTTTCTAAAAATAATCACTGGAAATAAAATATAGTATTTTCTCTTGATTGCTGTTTTTTAAAACTTTATTAAGCACTTGAAACAATATTCCTTGGGCAATTATAAAAATAATTTGATTTTTTATAGCTATAAATGAAAGATAATATGTGGATTCAATTTACTGTTATCCTTTGAATTCTTCTTACTGGTCATGAACTACACCTTACTTCAAGCCTTTCAGAACATAGGAAGAAAAGGGCTAAAGGGATAGGGGAAGTGGGAAGGGTAGGGGAAAGGAGATAAGGGAAAAGAAAAAAAATATGAAAAAATGAAAAAATGGAAATAAAGCATTTGTAAATAGAGAAGGGAGGAGGGGGTGAATGGAGGGCAGGGACACGGGGAAAAATGAGAACCAAGACCTGTCATGTAAAGGTACAAGATCCCAATGATGAATGTAACTGTACTGTATACCTAAAATGTGCCAATAAACTCAATGGTGGGGTGGTGGGGAGAACACAGGAAGGACACAGACAAATAGGACTTATACCTAGAAACTGAATATTTTAAAGTATTTTTGTAAGTAACAATAATAATTGGTAAAGTTTACTTAGGCTTTTTATGTTTGTTTGTTTTTTGTTTTTTGTTTTTTTTTTTTTTTTGACACAGCAATCCTCCTGCCTCAACCTCCCGAGTGCTGGGATTACAGGTGTGCGCCACCACGCCCGGCTTACTTAGGCTTTTTATGATCAAATATTGTAGAGGAAAATTCGTGAATAATTGATCATTCTGACAAAGTGAAGGTAAAAGTCCTTATGATACGCTGAATTACTGGAACAGATACAGAAATCATATTTAAGAATATTTTTTGTTTCGGGATATTTCATTTCCTTCTTTGAATCATTATATTGTCTGATTAGTTCATTTTAAGGTATACTTTGTCTTTTTGGTTACTCCATGCTTTTTTGATCCTTTTACAGCAACATAGAATCCATGGATATGAATTTGCATTGTATTACTGGCTTTCTAGAAGCCAATTTAAAATATTCTAAATCCCGTTTTTCCTCTTAAAAGAAATATTTCTCCTCTTGAAGTTCTGGAGAATGGATTTAAAAATTATTTTCCTAAAGAAAGGAACATTGTAGTATAAAAAATTGATTTTCCTTTTCAAAATTCAGTTTTGTCTTGTTTTATTTTGTTTTCAATTTAGATCTCGAAAATTTTAAAACCAGAATGAGGAGTACAGTGTCAGTGCGTGAAGGCCAGGGAGTGGTCCTGCTTTGTGGTCCCCCGCCACACTCCGGTGGTAAGTGGCACTTTGTTTTCTGCTTTTCCCTTTTATTAAGTTTCAGGGCAAGGCCTGTGGCATACATACTGTTATTGCTTCTGTACGTTATCCTTAGGAACTTAGTAACCTGTGCATCAGTGAGAGATTCTGTCAGCTGAGTTGGAATATGAGATCTCTAGAAAATATGTACCATCCTGAAGCATTTATAAACACAATTTACACATTCTAGCAAGGAGGGTTTCAAAGGCAATGGAGATCTTAACAGTGGTGAACAATGCTTTGTCCTTACTCCATTATCATTTGTTATTTGGTTTTGGTCCGTGGTACAGATTGACCCCCCATTAATATGAGACAACATTCGATCATTTTATATATGTAGTATTTATGAAAATGATATGTATAGTCACATTATTTTCATTTCCATTGAGCTATTGGAATTGCAGATTTTATGCTACATTGGTATAGATCAGAATACACCAATCTAAAGCACATTGATAGAAATTGAAATATATTGCCAGAAATTCCAAAGCTTAACATGTAGTTACCCGGAGTGAAAATAAACTTTAGCACATACGAAAATAATTTAATGTGCTTCCTAGTATGAGCCTGGAGCACTGGTTTCATTTTCCTTTCATCCTCACCTTTGTAAATGTGGTCACTTGTGGGAACAAAGAGGACATTATTAATATATAAATCAGTGTTCTCTGAGAAATGAACATATTCTGTTATCGAGAGATTGAGAATTGCTGAGAGATAAATAAGTTAGGGGGATTTTCTGGCCAGGGGTGAAATTGAGAAGTCTTCTTTTTATCATAGCAAATCCATTTCAAATGAAAATATTCTGGGCTTTATTTGTTCTGCAGGGTCCTTCTTTCCTGGTGACTTGTAGGTTTTAATCGTAAACCCTCAACCTAATAATACAAACATCTCTCATCTCAAGTACATGACCATGTGAAAAACATGAGTCATTTGGAGCCTGAAGATCTGTAACTTGGTTAAAGAGATTGCCACCATGTTTGCAGGCATGTGGCTTAATTGAATACCTTTTTCTGGAATGCTGATAATCCAAAGGAACTTTAACTCTGAATATAGGATAAAGTCTCTCGATTGCAAATTAAAGCAACTGAAGTCAGACTGGCTTGAAGAATACAGGGTATTCACTAGCTCTAACTGGCTTCTAATGGAGCGGTAAGATTTGCAGAGAGCTATGTTACCCAGAAATACTTGCCACCTTGCTGTGGGGTGTGGAGTCAGCAGATGGCTTGTTGCGCTGGGCCTCACAGACCCACTGGCACACATTCCAACCCTGGCTTCCACATCTGGTGACTCAGCAAGGTGGGGCCGTAAATGGCCTACCCTTTCTGACCAACACTGGTTGATTCTGATATTACTAATCAGATATCACCATGTGTTCCTTCACTTCTACTTGATCACTTTTCTGTGGGTGGAAATGGCTAAATTTGTTATTTTCTGAGTACTCCCATCCAAGTACTGACCAGGCTCAACCCTGCCTAGCTTCCGAGATCAGACAAGATTGGGCGCGTATGGCCGTAGACTATTTTCTGATTACAAAAGACGCATAGTTTATGTATTCATCAGATTTCTTCCCACAGAATCTAACAAAATAAGCACAGAAAGGCAATAAAAATGATAGCAATAGTAATAGTAACCTGTGTTCACTTGACTGTTGCTTAGATGCTAAGCAATATGTTTATCCTTTGTGGAAATTTTATGCTAGTGAAATTTTTCTGGTTAAAATTGTAGAGAACAATAAGATGAGTATCAATCTCAGAGATAGACTTGCAAACTCAGTCTTGTAGATGGCCAAAGCATGAGCTCTTAGCAGGTAATACTTGAATATCTTAAACCCAAGCCCTCCTTCCCTTCCTTCTCTTTCTCCCCTTTCCCTCCCTCCCTCCTTTCCTCCCTCCCTTCCTTCTTTCCTTCCTCCTTTCCTTCCGGTACCTGTTTATAATACATAATACTTACATGCCTCTGGGTAAATTCATTCATATGCATATCATGTCTTGGTTGTTTTGACTTCCCCTCGCCCCCACCCTCCCTTCTCCCACCTTTTCTACAACCACTTCCCATCTCCACAGGATCTACCTCTGCATTCTTGCCGTTTCTCTTTTTTATTTTGCTCTTTAACTTCGACTTCCCATATTAAAGAAGCCATGTGGGAGTTAACCTTCTGTGTCTGATTTAGCTCCCTTAGCATTATCATCTCAAGATCCACAATGGAGCCCTACTAAAGCAGAAAGAAGGATAAATTTGAGTCATGTATAGGAAAATGGATGGATTTAAAACTAAGTCTCAGCACAAAGCTTCCCAGCTTCTGTGTAGGGCTACAATTTGGGAGTTTTAAGATTGTGGCTTAAAAAAGGTTGTACCTTTCCAAACATCACAGAACAGTGAGGAAGAGAAATTGGAATCTGGGTGATCTGCCTCCTGTCCAGAGCTCTGCACTATACCCTGCTGTAAACAAGCCTGCAGCACCCTCCTCCAAATGATAAGGCACAGTCTTCAGAAAAAGCACCAGTGTCCTCAGCCAAGGGCTTCTGATATCTCCACTTTAGAAGCAGCTAAGTTAATAGCTGTGTTTTAATATTCCAGCACCTTGTTTACAGAAACATTTGACACATCAGCAATGCCTAAAGTCATATTAGCAGAAATCTCCCTGAGTTCGGCCAAATGCTCAATTCAGAGATGCTCTACCCCACTGCTCCTGAGACTTTAATTGCGAATGAATCAGCTCTGGACTTGACAGAATGCAGATTGTGATTCTCTAGGTCTGGGCTGGGGCCTGAGATTCTGTATTTCTAGTAGACTGTCCTGGGAGCCCGATGCTCTTGGTCCATGGGCTAATGGTAGTAGCGAGACTCTAACCTGTCTGTTCCATTTTATGAACACCCTGATGATTTTCCCGAGACCATCCTCTGTCCTCTCAGCCTCCCTTCTCTCCTCTCTCTTTTCACAGTCACTGCATTAATGGCATTTAGCACATCAGGGCCAAAAGATTATCTCTCCCCCAGGATGGTATTTCTTCCACCTCCCAAGTCAACCCTGAAGCTTCTTTCTCAAGATACTGTTCACCCTGATTTATTTTCTTGTTTGGTGGCCTTCCAAGTCTCCAACCGATTTGTATATTTTTATTGCCTCATAAAACTCCTGTCTTTCTTTTCTAAGTCCTACGGCTGTGTTCAATTTTAATGATCGTCCCAGAGTTCCAAGCATAAAAGGGATCATGATTTTACCCCACAACTTCTCACTGCCCAGGTGTGATATGAAAGCAGCACAATCTCTAGCTTGAATTTGACTTAGGTCTAATGAACCAGAGAAAGTCTCACCAAAAACCCTTTCGGATTTTAAAATTAAATTGTATTCAGTAAGAGGTATAAGAGGGATTCTCCATCGTTTTGGTATTTCATCTTCTATGAAACCTCTTGGATTTCTCCCATCTCTCCATGCTCATACTTCTGTTCTTGTCATCACAATGAGATGAAAATATCAAAGCATAAAGAAACACCGGTGAGGGTGTACCATGCACCCATTCATCATGGATGGATGTCATATTTACCCCCAAACAGCTTTATGGTAGGCACACTGCTTTTTGCATGCTTCTTATAGTGACCACTTCAGAAATTAGAAGGATCCCACCCTAGAAAGGTTTTACTCATTTGAATGTTTTTAGGTAGGAGAGTTAGAACTAACAAGGGCTTTGTTTCTTTGTTTGGGTTTTGGTTTGGCCTTACATTTTCCTGTACCCAGCAATATGATACATAAGAATTGTTGCTATGCAGTTTAGTAACAGGTAGTAATTACTCTTCTTCCTTTTTTTTTATTCCCTGTGTCCTAGTTTTCCTTCTCTTATTAGCCACAATAAAATTTTATTAACGTTGCTTCTCTTGATGAAGCAAATTTATAAGTTCTTGTGTTGAGAAAACAAAAGAGCAACATATCCCCTAAAAAAACTAGGGAGATAGACATAGAACGAGCCTAAGATTTCCAAAGTATTAAAGTATATTATTCAATACTCCCTCAATCCATGTGTGCAAATTGATAAAATTTATCTAGACTGATTTGCTTAAAAGAGTCACCATCTATCGGATCTACTAAGAGGAAAAATTGCTCCATGGTAGGAGAGAACTAGGAAGCTTTCCTAATTATTTAGGTAGCCCCACAGCACCACAGAATGTTGTCATCTCAGAGGTCTTAATCTCTTCTTAATTCTGTCACATTTTCTGCCATGGCTTCATCATTGCTTTCTCTGCAGAAAAGACCAGCACCTCCCTGAGTCCCGTGGGTGAAATAGTCCAAAATTAATTGGAAAACTAGGAACTGATAAACTAGAAATGAGGAACTGGACATAGATTGCCTATCATGTAGTTATTGATCTCATTACTGATAGTGTGGAAAGCTGGGTATTAGGGTTGCTACTATGCAGTTGCTGCTATCTCAACAAAAAAATCAGTAGCAATTCAAATGTAGGAAAAAAATTACCCTATTAAAAATAAGGTAGAAAGACTAGTTCGTGGGCACCTCATGATAAATCCTAATCAGATAGGAATTCTTGGTTTAATCAAGTTATTCCTTACACACATCTTTGGAGAGCTGATTTTTTGCCCAGTGATGACTGATGGAATTTATTGTGAGTAGAGAATAGGCTGGAAGTCTGCCTAGTGTTTAATCAGCAAACTACTTTGGTCTCTGATCCAGCTTTCCACCTATGTGCATAATCTTGAGAATTTAGGCCCATACACTGTGATTCACTTACAACAACACCGCCTAGGGGTTGTGAAAAGGAGAATGTGAGATGTCAAACAGCAGGTAATGTAAGTTGAAGCCACTTTATGCTAAAAATTGATTTGTAAAACTTAGTGTGACCAAAGTGTGAACGGTTAGCAACAAAGCAGATGGCATGGGATTTATACCTTCTGTTTCAACATTATTTTTTTTTTCTTCTCCAAAATGAATAGACCAAAAGGCCCAAGTCATCGTAGGTAGTACTAAATAGG